AAAAAATAGATTAAGTAAAGAAAAATTTGAAATTTATCCATATAAAATAAAAAAAAAAGCTTCTTAGAATTGCATACAGGTAAAAAGGTATTTACACAATTAAATATCACCTTCAAAGTAATAAAACATCTCCAATCAATTAAGATCAATAGTAAAAGACCTCATTTAAAACTGTGAAGAGTGATTGTTCACTGCAACATTTATGTTTCACCCTCTGAGCGACTTTACACAATTTTTTGACTAAAAAATATTTGAATTAAAGAAATATATCTATATCTCACTGCTTATAAATGGCCACTAAATTTCTACCAGCATCAGCCAGAAATTAAGAAGCAATAACTCTTGATCCAGAATCAGATATACTTAAAGTGGGTTTTAGAGTTTTATCCACAAATATATTTATCCTGATGCACATCTACAAAAACATCAGTTTACCACAGTTATAATGATATAGATATAACAAAAAATTAGATTAATTAATGACACAAAAAAAACAGCAGCATCAATAACTTTTTCTAAGGCAAAGGCATATCCCACCTATCCTTATACATATATATTTTTCTAGATGCCTAAACTTTTGAATGCACTCTCACACTGCAAAAAAATCTTAGCCCTAATTTGTCTAATACAGTTTAATTTGATTCAATTTTAATAGAGAAGATTCAAAGAAATTTCTCCTTGATAAACAATCTCAAGAGATGAATCCAATAGTATTTATTTTATACCGTTTTTAACTTGGAAATCTTTAACTAATAACCGGGAAGGAACTGTAGTGGGTATAATTTTAAATAGTTTAGAAGAAAACCGAAGTATTTTCATCAATTTAAGAAAGTTTGTGTTGGACAGTTGCAATAGAATCAATTTAAAAATACTTTCAACAAACGAGAGCCTATAAATAGTATTAATGAGTAATAAAATTTTAATAGAACATTATTGGTTTAACATGGGTTCAAATAAATTAAACTAGTCTACAAGTTTATAGGACATAACCTAACAAACAGTCACTGACCTTTTCTTTGGCCCTTCCTGCATGTTTTTGAACAGATTTAGCCAACAAACTACCGCGACTTTCCGCCATAACTTATAATTTATATTTTTAAACACTGTCCCAGTTTGTCACAATTCACACACAATTTTTTTACAAAAATTCCCGTGATGTAAGTCTCTCCCTCTCGCAACACTACACTTCACAAGTTACTTTTAGATCCTGCTGACTGGAGCTGTGCTGAGAGCTGTATCTGTGCAGTGCAGCTCTTTCTCTTTTTAGATCACTTGCCAACCGTCAGTCGGAGTCGGAATCTGTGCCTTGCCTCGGACTAAGGCGTAAAGTGTAGGTAATAAAATGAAACAGGTGGTAAATCATATGGTCCGAATTGTAAACTTCTGATGGGATTGTAACCATTTCTTCCAATAGAAACCTATTCAGTATACAGAAATTTACCAATAGAGGGCTCTGCGTGAAAATATATCTGTGGTATAGGCAACACTTTATACATGTGGTTATCCGTTAAGCTTTTTCTTATGAATAAATTGATATAAAAAAGGGAAACTACATGATGACGAAAAACAAAAAAAAAAAAAAAAATTATAATATATAAAGATGATAGGTAGCAAATTGAAAATATAATAAGATTATCTTTTCTTCCAGTGTTAAATAATTGATGCGTTAAACATTAAAGCCTCTCCTATTCCTAATTTGTTTCTGGCGACCTTCTATCATCATCATACAGCCTTCTGCGTCTAAAGTTGGATATAGACCTCCACTAAATAGGGTGATCTATATAAATCGCAAATTGGCTGAAAAACGAGTTAAAAATCTGTCCTATGACAGTAATGTTAATGTTTGGAGATGTTTTTCATTTCAGAAATTTGGCTATGCTAGAGATTTGTATCCTACATCCAAATTAGCCAGTATGGACGAGAAAAAGGAAGATTAATCTAGTGAATATTGCAAAGCTACAAATAAATTACAATTCTACAAAAAGCTTCATAATCTTTAAAATTTTGTTCATAAACACATTCTCAAAAGTTTATAACAAAGTTTAAGTGAAATTTCATTTCTAGTTTCTATTTCGAGTTATTTTTAGTTTTAGTTAAGAGGCAGCATCACCAAAAAAGTTTTATAGTGCTATAATCATCATCATCACCAAGCCTTTTGCGTCCACTGCTGGTCATAGGCCTCCCTCATTTTTGTCCATTGGGATCTATCTTGAGCACTTTTTATCCAATTTCCACTTTATTCCAATTTCTTATCTGATTCGGGATTAAAATGAATAACATCATTATCATTTTGGTGTGCGTTGAATCATTATTTTTCATTGGTTAAATTTTAAGTAACATGCTAGACGCGCGCTACTTGCTACTTGCCACTTGCCATGCCAGTTTGGTGGGAGCTCTCCCTAACGGTATGTATTTCTAAGAAAAAAAAACTCGTCGTCATAATGACGAAAGGCGGCTCCGTTACTAGCTGTAGTATAGAAAAATACTTCTATAGTTTATATTTTAACGAATGTTGGTAAAAAATAGTTGTTAAACTTTCCACATACGTGGGTTTTTCACTACTGAACTGTACTCAAAAAACATATAAATTGACGTCAGCGGCCATTGCGACAACAAACTAAAAAATTTATAATCTATCGCCAGACTAACTAAAAATTAAGTAGTAATATAGACATTATTATTAGATACTTGGAGGAAAGAGCATGCAGCTGCGTCTATAATTCGCAGTTATAAGTACAGCATATTTAGACACAATAAAAATAGTCTATGAGATGATGTAGTAAGCACTAACAGAATTTTTAAGGGTTAGAAAAATGAAACGCTGCAAACCTGTAGCTTGAAATACGGTACTCAAAATCCTGTTAAACATTTTCAACATCATCTCCGAGATTTTCTACAACAGACACATTCATTTTTCTTTTTTTTTATATATGTTTTCTATTCCTCTGCAACTTTTACGTTTATATCTAACTAAATTACTTTTGTTATAAAAGTAACGTTGATACTGATCACACACCATCTTGACAAAGTAATTTTGCTGTAATAATCTCTTTTATAATCATGTGGACGAACATTTACATGCAGGAGGCATCGGCTGGACCTTATATCACAAAGCAAGACATTATCAAAGCGGCAAATCAGTTAAAGAACGGAAAAGCTGTTGGGGAAGATAATATCCCAAGTGAAATAATAAAGATATTACTAGACGAACACATCGAAGTAATGGAAGATATATTTAACAAAATATACGAAACAGGCATAATACCAAATGATTGGCTGACATCGGTGTTTATACCACTACCAAAGAAGAGAAACTCCAAGAAATGTGAAGTCCATAGGATTATTAGCCTGATGAATCATATGTTGAAGTTTTTCCTACGATTAATACACAATAGAGTATACAATAAACTAGACGAACACACTGGTCAAACTCAGGTTGGTTTTAAGAATGGGTTCGGAACAAGAGAAGCACTTTTTTCAATACGTGTGCTAGTTGAAAGATGTAGAGATGTCGATTCTGATGTATACTTGTGTTTTATAGACTTTCAGAAGGCGTTTGGCCTGGTGAAACCTGATAAACTAATAGATATTTTAAGGTCATGTAATATCGACGATAAAGACTTAAGGATCATTTCAAACCTCTATCAAGAACAAAAGGCTAAAATCAGAATAAAAAGCGAAACATCTGGAAAAATCAATATCGAGAAGGGAGTAAGACAGGGATGTGTTCTATCACCTTTGCTGTTCAATGTTTACTCTGAGAAGATATTTCAGAAAGCTTTGGAAGGCACCTCGGATGGTATAATTATAAACGGGCAATGTATAAATAACCTGCGATATGCTGATGACACTGTCATACTGGCAGATAATGCTGAAGCCCTGCAACGCTTAATGGACCGAGTAACGACAGCCTGTAGAGTATTTGGAATGAAATTGAATACAAAGAAGACAAAAACGATGGTCATCAGTAAGCACCAAAACAGAAGGTGAAGGTCAATGTCGACGGAACAGATCTGGAAAGAGTAACAAGAACAACGTACCTTGGAAGGAATCTTGATGAAACTTGGAACCACTCACTAGAGATAAGAATACGCCTGGAAAAGGCACGTACGATGTTTTACAAAATGCAAACAGTTCTATGCAACCGCCAGCTGGGCATCTCATTGAGAACTAGAATACTTAAGTGCTATGTTTTCTCCACCTTGTTCTATGGTGTTGAAGCCTGGACAATGACAGAAGCAATACAAAAAAGAATCCAAGCATTCGAACTCTGGTGTTACCGTAAAATGCTCAGAATATCCTACATGAGCCATACGACAAATGCGGAAGTCTTGCGGAGGATGAATAAGGAAAGAGAGCTTATGCTTATAATAAAAGAACGGAAAACACACTATTTTAGTCACATCATAAGAAATCAAAAGTATGAACTGCTCCAACTTATAATCGAAGGCAAAGTCAATAGCAAAAGAGGATCAGGAAGAAGACGCAACTCTTGGCTTAAAAACCTACGGCAATGGACGAACATGACCTCCATAGAACTATTCAGGGCTGCTACAAATAAGATTAAATGGGCAAATGTAATGGCCAACGTCCTTAAGGATAAGGCACCGTAAGAAGAAGATAATCATGTTTACAGCAATGACATCTCGACAATGATTTTAAAGGTGATCCTTCTTGTTGTTACGGGTTGAGAGGAGGAGGTTATCGGGTGATCTTTCCTGGATGTTGGGCTGAGGATCGAACCGGAGTCCTGATTCTTACCACCGCTGACTTACATCTAGTCACACTAGTCATTACCCTTCTCCTTTCTCATCCGGACTTGGAACTGGCAATGGTTTAGTTGGATACATGTACATGCTGCAGCTAATTTATGGCAAAGAGAAGGAACAGATAGATAGTAACCAAAACCCTTCAGGATTTTTACAATAAGAAACACTATATTTATTAAGTAAACACATTTTTTATCAACAATTATTTTTAACTGCGTATTGAACAAAAACACAAATAATAATAAAATTTGTTTTATTAAAATTCAACAAAAAATATAGTGACGTGGAAATACAGTTTTAAAAGTTAGCCTTGGTCATTAGCTTGTCAAATTTAACATCTTGTGGTGCATGTTTGTCATTTCTTTATAACAATATTATGATAATAATATATTTGAAAATGAATTTAATCGAACAAAGACAACTTATTTAAGTTTATTCATCTCGGTTTTTAGCTGACTCAGTTTCGTGAGACACAGATCTCTCCAGTTTCTTCTTTCCTGCAAAATAAGAAATACTTTTACATTATATACATTTATTAAAATTAAAAATTGGTGATGTTGTCAAGTCTTAACATACCGAGGATAACTGGAACAAGTTGGGGAACCCGGTCAACTATCATAAGCAGTTCAGGTAAACGTTTTGTTTCTCTGTGACAAAATACTGATCATACAAATAAGGTTGACAAAACTATTAATATCTTGGTCAAAATAATATCGGAATACTTCTAAACCATCTAAATAAATGAAATTAATTCTTTCGTTAGTATAGCTCTGTCCCTTGTTAAGAACTCAGTCAGATCGGAGGTAGAAAGAAAGAAGCAGACAACAAACCAAAAACACCCATTGTTTGATAAACCAAGGAAGCCATCAAGATTCCACACTTGTAACAGCTTCATTTATGATGATCAGGATTTTATCTCGTTTAGGGTCTGTTGCTTCTTCAAGCATGGGGTTTGTTAAGGGAAACGTCAATCTGTGAGCCGCTCTCCTCCGGCTACGTGATGGCTACAAAGTAGTAATGTCTGCAGGATTTCCTACTCTTATAAGTGCCGGTTGGAGCAAGCCCACTACTGAGTACAAGTTTCATTGGAAAAACGGACGTTTTCAGATTGTTGGTCTTTTGTTTGTTTGGTGTAAATGCTTGGAGGATAGTTGTGGCTATGTCCTCACCAAGATCAGCTATCGTTGTGCAATGTGATTGGGAAACCACAGAAAACCAATCTGTCCCTGTCCTTATAATTTGAGTTCCGACTCTTAAGGAGTGTGTGGGGTGCTCACTGTTTTGAGTTTGGATGTGTGTGGGTGTTGTATAGTTATTGGTTTGTGTTGTCGATTTGTTTCTTATTTTGGTATTTGTATGTTTTTTGGTTTGTGAGCCAATGTGGTTGGTAGATTGTGTGTATAGTTAAATAATAAGTGTATGTATGAATGATAAGTGTAGTGTGTTTATATATTTATGTGCGAAGTTGTGTGAAGGTTTGGTTTACAGAATTGTTATAACAAGAGGTAGATATGGTATACCCATACATTGAATTGGATAATTGGTTTAAGCAGCGAATTGTGCCACTCCTCTTTTCAGGGAAGACATTAAATAGAATTATGGATGTGAAGTGGATTAGAGATTTCATGTCCGAGGATAGATAGCTTCATTGACGCACAGTGCTATTTAAAACACCATCCAAGGTAGTCGAAAATAATTATGGAAGAAATGTTCAACCGTTAACACTGCAGATCATATGAAGAGCTGGCAGCAGTGTATGAATTGCCATACATTACCTGGGTAGCTCCAAACATTTTAGGATACAGTATAAAAATAATTTATAAGATGGGATAACACAGATAATGACAGATCAAAGGTACAGTAAAACCAGTACCTTCTTAACTATTCAAATTTGCGCGGTAACAGACCTCACACTCGCCAATGAAAAAGCAATCTATTAGATTAAGATCGCACTGCAGGATCTCTCTGCATATTTGGAGATGTAACTAGCTTTGTCTTTGTGGCACTGTTTTCTGATTTCTTTCGATAAGACTCTGTATTCATCGTTTATTCCGTATCTAGCTTTATGTTCTTTTCTGCGTTGAATCACAATCCACATATTATCGGATATCTACCGCTAAAACTAGAATACATAGCATAATAAGAAATAATGAAGAGAGTAAAAAAGCTTATGCCGCAAAAAGACAGGAAGCAAAGAAAATCTGTAGAAGGAAGAAGCGGTCAAGTTTAGATCAGAAACTAGTTCCTATTGAAGAAGATTTTTTACATAAACAAGTCAGGAATTTCTACCAAGAAATAAAACGAGACCGAACCCAGTACAAAACCACATCAAGATATTATAAAGATGAAGAGGGGAATCTGTTAGGTGGAACAGATAAAAAATTAAGAAAGTGGGCCAATTATTTCGAGAACATATTATGTACGGACGACCAAGATGAAAGAGAACAAACGCAACTACAACATGAAGAAGTAAGGGACCCAGATGTAAATGAAGAAGTACCTACCAAGGAAGAAATTATAGAGATCATAAAAAACTTAAAAAACAACAAAGCACCTGGTGAAAATGGTATCATTGCTGAGTTTCTAAAAGAAGGTGGCGAAATGGTGCAAGAAGAAATCGCTGAGTTAATACGCGAAGTGTGGATCAAAGAAAAAATACCCAATCAGTGGAAAGAAGCAATCTTATGTCCAGTGCATAAAAAAGGAGACGTTACAGAATGTAAAAATTACAGGGGAATAGCTCTACAAGATACAGTGTATAAGATTCTGGCCATATCAATTAGAAATAAAATTAAAACAAAAGTTGAAAATTGTCTAGGTGAATATCAAGCAGGTTTCAGAGCAAACAGATCGGTAATAGACCAAATTTTTACAATGAAACAAATTTTAGCTAGCTCATATGAATTCAACCTAACATTACACATGCTGTTTATTGATTTTAGACAGGCATATGATACTATAAAAAGAAATAAAGTATATGAAGCACTAGAATATTTTGAATTCCACCAAAAATAGTAAGACTGACTAAATGCATACTCAATGATACTAAAAGTAAAGTCATGTTAGAAGGACGGGTTTCGGATAGCTTTATCACCAATAGAGGTCTGCGACAAGGTGACCCGTTATCAACAGATTTTTTCAATTTGATCTTAGAGAAGATTTTACGAGAATGTAATATCTACACTAGAGGCACAATATATCATCACAGGCATCAATGTGTAGCATATGCAGATGATGTTACCTTAATAACAAGGAGACCTGCAGAATTAAGAGAAATCTTTACTGGAATAGAGAGAATAGCCAGGGAATATGGTTTAGAAATAAACGAAGAAAAAAACAAAATATATGGTGATGAGGGGAAACGAAAATCATCTAGGACAGTCCTTTAAGATACAAAGCCCAAGTAAAGAATATAACTTTGAAGTTGTTAGCCAATTCGATTACTTGGGAGTGACACTAACAAATAGGAATGAAGAGAACCAAGAAATCATAAAAAGAATGGCCAAAGGTAGTAAGAGTGCTGGGAGCCTGACTAAGATACTGAGGTCGAAGATAATATCCAGAACAGCAAAAAAAAAAACGAATATATACAACAGTTATCCGACCTACAGTACTCTATGCTAGCGAGACCTGGACACTAAATAAAGATATGGAAGTAAAATTAGATAGATGGAAACGAAAAATTCTTAGAAGGATATACGGAGGTGTAAAAGAGGGAACATCTGGCGAAGAAGAACGAATGAAGAAATAATGCAAATATATGGGCAACCAAAAATAACAAGACTCGCTAAAATTCAAAGATTAAGATGGCTCGGACATATAGCAAGAATGAAGGAAGGAAGAGTTCCCAATGAATTAATAAACACGGAGGCTGGTACAAAAAGAAAAAGAGGCCGCCCCGAAGAAAATGGCTGGAGTCGGCAAAAGAAGATCTGAAGTCGCTGCGGGTACAAGATTGGAAAAACTTTGAGGCTGTTGAGCTGAACTATATATATCCACGGCTAACGGCCCGTGGAAACCGCTGCCTCACGGTCTTTTGCAGCTTCGATTATCTTATGTTTTAGATGGATCCAAGTACTCTCAGAGTCACTATTTACTTGGTCTAAAAAAAGAGCTTCTTCTAGGTTTTGTTGGACCATTAAAAAAACAGTTAGGAGTTTCGTATCAAAATAATACAAAAAAGTAAATAAGTAAGCATATTGAGCCCTAATTTAAGGTGGTTCTTATAATGTAGACTGAGGTCTCAACAGATGGTACTATAGAGTCTTGAAGATGACTTCAAATACAAAACCGAAACCAAACTTGACCATATTAAACCAGCACTTATACTTCTTCTTCTTCTAGTTCCATGACCGTTATCGATCGTTGGATATTCATGTTGGCTACCATATTCGCTATCGTGACTTTATTGACAGCAGCTCTAAATAACAGCACTTATACTAGAGAGCACTTTTTTCTTTATATGATGAACATGTTTAGTGAATCATACCTCTTCATAAGAAAGGTTCAACAAATAATTGTAACAACTACAGGCTATTAGCTCTAATATCACACGCCAGTAAGGTGATCCTCTACATACTGCAACGGCGTCTAGAAAACTTCATAAGTTGGCAAATAGCTCCTGAGCAGGCTGGATTTGTAAAGGGCAGAGGTACTAGAGAACAAATCCTTAAGGTACGAAACATCATAGAAAAAGCCAGAGAATACCAGATCCCGATATTTATATGTTTCGTCGATTATACAAAGGCCTTTGATAATGTTAGATGGGACAAACTATGGAACATATTGACGACAATGGGTGTACCTAAACACTTGACTCACCTTATTAGCAAACTGTATCAAGATAACCTGGCATATATTCGAATGGACGGATATCTGTCTGACAAATGCACTTTGGAGAAGGAGTACGCCAAGGATGCGTTTTATCTCCCTTATTATTTAACATCTATTCGGAGTTTATAATGCGCAGAGTTTTGGATGGTTGGGAGGAAGGAGTAAACCTACGTAGTGTTAAGATATCTAACTTGCGTTTCGCAGACGACACTACACTTCTATCCTCTACTCCAGAAGAAATTATTAAATTATTAAAAAAACTCGAGGTAGAAAGTGCTAAATTTGGACTCATGGTTAACTACAACAAAACCAAAATCATGGTTATTGATCGCCAACAACAGTTTCCTGAAACCCAAACTATTGCGGGATGCGAGGTAGTCTCATCTATGATATATCTTGGAGCTCTAGTTAACAACACAGGCAGTTGTGAATCCGAAATTAGAAGACGCATTCAACTAGCAAGAGCAGCAATGAGTGAACTAAACGGGGTCTGGTGTGATCGTCACATTACTATGACAAACAAAAAGAGACTCGTTTCAACTCTGGTCTTTTCCATATTTTACTATGCATGCGAGACATAAACAGTCAAAGAATCAGATCGACGACGTATAGACGCCTTTGAAATGTGGACATGGAGACGCCTGCTTCGAATTCCATGGACGGCTCGCCGTACAAATATCTCGGTTCTGGATGAAATTAAACCGGATCAGCGTCTCTCCAGTACCGTTTACTCTAGAATTTTAAAGTTCTTTGGCCATATCCATCGAAGTGATCACAAAATGGAGCGGTTGGTGGTCCAAGGAAGGCCTCAGACTCAACGCCAACGCGGAAGATCTCCACAGCGATGGGCGGACATTACTAAAAAGCTTCTCAATAAACAGTATACTGAGGCAATACATATAACTGATGACCGCGACCAGTGGAGAAATATTATCAATCAAACTGTTCGAGCTGCTGAAGCCCAATTATGAACCACAACACATCTACTAAGAAGTTAATGACTGTGATGATGATGATGTTTAGTGATTTATTATGAAAATAAACGTAAAGATTGTAATTGTTCCAGAAGGAGAAAAACATTTTGAATGATAATACAATATTACCTGTAGTTTATCTAGTGGAACATCAGCTTCCAATTGCTTTGCAATTTCAAGAACATGAGGTCCCTCGAATTTCGGTGTCGGTTTAAAATCTTTGCTGACGGCGTAGATAGTATCAGCATATCGTTTACAGTAGTTGACGAAACCATGTTCGTTTAAGTGGGTGGTTTCTAATGTACCCAAAAAGGCATATCTCATACCCAAACCTTCAGACATGACTTTGTCCACGTCCTTTACGTCCAAAACTCCGTCAGTGACTAGATGCCAGGCTTCATTAAGGAGGGCGTACCTAAAATAAGATTCCATGTACATCTTCTAGCACAAATTTGCTATCGCTTTAATGACAGCATATGGAGTAGGAGCATAATTCAACAGCTATATCGATTATATTAATTATATGGAACAACACTTACTGTAGTCTGTTGATAATAAATCCAGGAACTTCTTTGGTAAGGGAAACTGGAGTCTGTCCAACTTCTTCCCAGATTTGTCTAGTTTTCTTGGCAACTTCCGGGTCGGTCCATGGAGCAGGTACTACTTCCACAACAGGAACGTAGTAGGGCGGGTTGACTGGGTGAGATACAATTATATTTTTTCTAAAATAAATTAATTTATTTAAACTGAGATTCATAGTTCAAGATATAATAAATTCTTGTAATATATCTCTGATTTTTGAACACTGAGCCTCATGAGTCATACTTTAAAAGTACTGCTGGAAGTAATGCTAGGTTCCGAAATGGAATGGGTACTCGAGAAAGACTATTTGCCATCAACATATTGATTTAGCGATGTCGGGATGTAAACGTTGATCTACACTTGTGCTTCGTTAACTACGAAAAAGCTTTCGATAAAGTAAGACATAAAAACTAATATAAATACTTATGAACAAGCGCATTGACAGTAAAATCATAAATATTGTGCAAATATTATATTGGAACCAGAGTGCCACAGTTCAAATTGATGGGCAACACTAAGAAGAAATGAAGATCTGTAGAGGAGAAAGGGAGGGGTGTGTTTTATCGCCACTTTTGTTTAACTTATATTCTGAAGAAATTTTCCAAAACACGCTCAATAATATCAAAGCGGGAGTTACCGTTAACGGAAAATTAATTAAGAACTTACGATATGCAGACGACACTATGATCATAGCAACGATTATAGAAGATCTACAACATCTAATTGAAAGCTTAAGCATGAAAAGTGCTGATATGGGGATTATTAAAAACGCTAAAAAACGAAGTACATGTTAATTACAAAAAGACCACAAAATATACACTTGCGTGCATAGAAATCGGCCCACTGTAAACTTTTGACTTTAACTATATTTTTTTCAAGAAATATTCATCAGATCACAACAACAAATATACTGCTTGAAATACAATTTAATATGCTTTAATGTGAGTATAAATTTATCAAGAAGGCTTATCGTTTACATGCGTAGTAACCGGTAAACAAATGAAACGTGTTTATGTGGTGATTGTCACGAAAATAACAAATTTGTCTAATTGTAAAAGTATTGCCTTTGCAAGTGAAATTTGCATATTATTCGTTTTTCATAATCTCAGCAGTGTTCAAGTGTGTTAGTTTAATGCATACTACACCACAAAAAGCCACCCAAGTTATTGTTCTAATCGAAAATGGACTTAGTCAGCGAGCTGTTGCTAGACAATTGGATATGACACGCGCAGCGGTTCGAAGAGTATGCCAACATTATGAGGAGACTGGATCCTTTCATAGGCGACCTGGAACAGGCAGACGGCGATTTACAACCGCTTGTGATGACCACTTTATTGTGTCAACAACATTAAGAAATCGTCACCTTAATGCCATTCAGGTGCAACGACAGCTCGGTGAGGTGCAAAAAGTGGCTGTTAGTCAGTGGACAGTGAGACGAAGACTGCGGGAAAATAACCTGACCTCTAAAATACCTGCGATTGGTCCAAAACTTACTCCAGTTCATCGGCAAGCACGCCTGCGTTTTGCACAGGATCATCGGAATTGGACGTTGGAACAATGGGGATCTGTTCTGTTCTCAGATGAGACCAAAATATGTCTCTGAGGTAGCGACCGAAGAAGGAAAGTGTACCGGAGACCAGGAGAGAGATTTGCAGAATGCTGCTTTAAGAGCGGAGTGCTTATGGGGGTGGTTCCTGCATGATCTGGGGTGCAATTTCTATAGTAGCACGAACCGATCTTGAGGTTATTCGTAGGGACGACCGTGTTCACGGAAGAAGAGGTTTAACGGCTGCCAGATATATCGAGGAGATTTTAGCAATTCATGTGGTACCTTACGTTGACTACATTGGAGACGAATTTATCTTTATACATGACAATGTAAGGGCACACACCGCAAGAATCGTGCAAGATTACATTGCAGAAGTCGGTTTTCAGGTTATAGACTGGCCAGCAAACAGTCCTGACCTAAATCCGATCGAACATTTATTCTTCTTCAAGTGCCGTCTCCATCAATGGAGGTTAGCGGTTATGGTGGCAAACGTTTGTCTATCTTCGGCTGCTCTTAAGAGTTCCTCAAATCCAAGTCCTGTCCAGTTTCTGATATTACGTAACCAGGACAATTTTTTTCTTCCAATTCCTCGCTTTCCTTCTTCGAACATTTATGGGATGAGCTAAAACGAAGAATTCGAGCTAGACTTCATAAACCAGACTCGATCCCAGAGCTTATTCTTGCAGCAGAAGAAGAGTGGCTTAACATCCCACAAGCAACAATAGCAAACTTGATTAGATCTATGCCTAATCGTATGAGAGATGTTATTAGGGTAAGAGGAGGTCATACCCATTATTAAAAAATTAAGTGTTAAGTTTTAAATTGTCAATAACCCTATTTATGTTAATAATAAAGAAGCTTAATTTGCTTAATGAATTCATTTCACTATGTTAAACATAGGAAGCCGGAATAAGTTTTCATAAATTTATACTTACATTAAAGCATATTAAATTGTCTTTCAAACAGTATATTTGTTTTTGTGATCTGATGAATATTTCTTGAAAAAAATATAGTTAAAGTCAAAAGTTTACAGTGGGCCGATTTCTATGCACGCTACATCATCTATTGACAATCAATGGTAACGTGATAAGTAAAGTAGAAAAATATCAGTACTTGGAAACTTTGATCAATGAAACCAATGATTATACGGCAGAAATAAACAGGCGAATAGAGATTGCCAGATCGGCATTTGTACGAATAAAGCCACTCCTAACGTGCAAAAATCTAAATTTGGAGATCAGACTACGTACCATTCGCTGTTATATATTTTCAATATTATTATACTTTGAGGGTATACAAGGCAACTATCGAACACGGTGATTAATTTAATCTTGCCCAAGTACTAAATTAATCACCGTGTTCGATAGTTGCCTTGTATACCCTCAAAGTTTAATTATTCGAACATTCAACCTTATATTGAATATTATTATTACTTTGAGGGTATACAAGGCAACTATCGAACACGGTGATTAATTTAATCTTGCCCAAGTACTAAATTAATCACCGTGTTCGATAGTTGCCTTGTATACCCTCAAAGTTTAATTATTCGAACATTCAACCTTATATTGAATATTATTATAGACTTGGTCATAAAAACTAATTATTCATCATTTATTATGAACAAAAAAAGTCCGTCCACAAAGGGTTAAAAGGAGATCATTGAAGAACTTTGCCCACGGGATGAGAAATCCTAAATATAAAGATGGAAAATAGATGTCGAAAAATAGCTTCGGTATAATTCGATCTAAGGAGACCTAATAAGGTCGAAATATGCAGAAATGCTGAAGTGTTAAGGAGAATAGGTAGAGAGAAGGAAATGGAAAATACAATAAAAGAAAGGAAATTGCAATATCTCATATATGTAATGAGAGGCGAAAGATTCAACATCTTGAGACTCATTATTCAAGGAAAAATAGAGGATAGGAGAAGCGTAAGAAGAAGACGCGTTTCTGGTTGAGGCACCTGAGAGAGTGGTTTGGTTGCAGCTCAAGGCAATTGTTTAGAGCAGCTGCCTCAAAGGTCAGAATAGCCATGATGATTGCCGACCTCCGTCGCGGAGATGGCATTTAAAGACGAAGAAGATGGCAGGAGCCCTGCATTGAAATTAAATCCCAAACCTAAAGCCTAAATATGAAATTACTACATGTTATTATTCAGGGGAAATAAAAGGGAACGTGGTCCTGGACGATGAAGAATACCAGCGAGTAGTATGAAGTCAGCACTAGTTAGCTCATGCCACTAGCCGCCAATGTTCTTAGAGGACAAGGCACTTAAAGAAGAACAATCATCGGTGAAAAGTATTGTTGGATTTATATACGTTTCTATTGACAATGCAGAATATTATACCAACACTGACTAATTTATAGAGAAGAAAACATAAGAAGAGAAATATCCTGATAATAACTTACTTATTTTTAAGATGGTCACTGAATAGCGATGGCATAAAAGTAGAAGTGGAACTCGACAAAATCGTATTTGGTGAAACAATGTCGTCAACTTGTTTCCAAACTTTTCTCTTCAAGTCAAGGACTTCTGGAACACATTCTTGCACAATCGTAGCATCTTTTACAGCTTCTTCGAGAGTGGTTGTTCCTGCAAATGAAGTTAAGTAATAAATATGTCAGAGAAAACTGTTGGTATTACAATTCTATATTGATCTTAAAATCATCATGATTATAAAAAAAAATATTCTATATAATTTTATATTTCATCAGTTGATTTCCTATATGGTGATAGTGGTGTCAGTTGGACCTTTGGTCAATACTTAGTTTCATAGAATTTTGAAAGGTGCAGATCACATATCTATTGTAACTGCCCTTTCCAAGCTGTCATTTGTCACATGTCATCTCAACATTTCCGCCAGACCGTGAGCCATTCTGTCTCCGGCTTCTATATACCATGTAGCTTCGCCACTCTTCAAAAATTTTAAAGTGTTTGTTTGTCTTTGTGTAGTGTATTGTTATGTCCCATTTTACATTTATGACATTCTGCTCTTGTCGGATAGGCCACAACTGACGAAGTAAGTTTATAAACGTTAATCACATAAAAACTTTTATCAACCATAAACTTCGAGTTTTTTATCGAAGTGAATTAATTTCCTTTTTTAAGAAAACGTTTCTTGGCTTATTTCAGATGCCCCTGAGGATGATCTAGTGATCGAAAGTACTTGGGCAAGATTTAATTAATACTGTGTTCGATATTTGCCTTGTATACCATCAAAATTCTATATTGGATCTTTTTAGTGTTTACCTTATAGGAAATTTATTGGTTGTCTTATGTATTCTTATGTATGTGATGATAGGCTCTAAACTAGATTTAAGCTTTTGTGTGCCATAATTTAATTATTTCTTGCCTTTGATGATTTAGAATTTGTCGGTTTTCTACATTTTCCATATTTATATTACAACATTACAACACTGCACAAAAGTACCCGGCAAATTATACGAAGCTTTCCCCACTTTTTTCGAATTTGATCACTGCGCATCCAGAACTCACGTCTCTACTAATTTGAGCTAGTGTAACCTACCTGAAATAAGGGCGAATTGCTGTTGTCCAGTAAGTGTTCCCCTGAGGACTTTTTCTTTTTCCAAAGCCTGCAATTGTTGCTTGATATCTGCGAGTGCTACATCAATTTGTTCGGAATTTATGTCGTAGAGGGAGACTTTGTAACCGGCGGCAGCAAAGATCATGGCCCATGATCTACCAATGAGACCACTACAAGAAAATAATATATAATAATATACATATTAAAATATAATATATTTCTTAAAGAAGCACACTACAAATGTACTGATCTAAATGATATACTTAATCTAAAATGTAATTAGGTAAAGAAAAACAGAATACTCTTTTTGCTAAAATTAAAAATGAAGTTGCGAAAAATCAACAAGTAAGAACTGCCAAAAACTCTCAACTAGAGATAAAATTAAATAAAACAAATATAAAAAACAACACTAAATATCCTAAGATTTCCTACTTGGCGAAACTAAATTGAAATTTTCACCACTGTGCTTTCTAAAACTTGCAAAGCAGACATTATTAGTAGTCATCCACTACAAAAATTCTTAGTGAATTTAGTTTGTAGTACTCGAAACTGATTAAAGAACTAAAACAGGAAGACCAGATCGGAGCGGATGCCCTGCATTAAAATTAAATCTAATACCGTCTTTCTGTTTTAAATATGGACTATTAAGTGCTCCACAGATCTTAAAGCTTTTAAATATGGACTATTTATGCTAGATAGTGCTTAACTTCTGGGTGGCGCTTTCTCTCTGTGGACGTGAACTATAATTTCAGTGATTTTTTAGATAGGCTTGACTGTATTTTCAATAAGGCATTTCCTTTAATTACAATTAAGTCAAAATATCATAAATCATGGACTACCAAAGCTATCCGCATATCAGCCAAGAATACGCGTTCACTACTGTGCATCAAGAAGTTTACTACCAACGTCTTTGTGACTGAATATATCTCCAAGTACAGAGGAACCTATTTAAAACATCAAAACAGATAAAAAATGTACTATCAAAATCATCTGGGAAGCTCTAAAAATGTTACAAGAGAAACTTGGTACATAATAAAAGATCTTCGAAATAAAACTAACACAGCTCAAACATTTTCTCTTCCAAACCCTGAAAATGTAAATGAATACTTCGCCAATGTGAGTAAAAATATATCATCAACTATTTTGCCACAACAAGATCCTATTTCGTATCTCTCCAATTCAAAAAAGGTCTCGAATTCATTATTTATAAGACCAGTTGATAAATCTGAACTGATCCAAATAATCAGTAGTATCAAAAGCAAATCTTTCTGTAGTACTGATGGACTATCCATAAAAATTTTCTTAAATCTCCCAAGAAATGTGTTGGAAGTCCTGGTCTCACTAATTAACGATTTCTTTGAAAAAGGTATATTTCCAAAGTGCCTAAAGGCAGCCAGTATTATTCCTCTTTATAAGGGTGGTGAAAAGTCTAATAATCAATTTAGCAAATCAGGATATTTTGATACAAAAACTAAATTTCTATGGAATTCTAGGTATTTCTTTGAATTGTTCCAATCTTACTTAAGGAATAGAAAACAACTAGTTAGAGCAAATGATACTGACTTACTAGATCCTCTACTTTTCCTTATCTTTATAAACGACATCACTAACTTAAAAATCGATGGAAAAATTTTTCATTTTGCTGAAGATACCAGTATTACCTGGAGGAACTCTAATATTGCAACTCTTCATGCAATTATAACTTCTAATCTACTCAGAAACTAACCTCAGCCTGCTATGCAATAAGATCTGTTTCGAAGAAAATCAATTTAGTATCTTCTAAAATAACATAGTTTTCTTCGTTCGAGTCTAATCTTCGATATGCCCTTCCATTTGAGGTTCTAGTACGGCTGCTCGATATGATGTTATTTTTAAATTACAAAAAAGAGCAATACGGTATCCTTCTGGCCTCGGTAGAAAAACACATTGCAAATACTACTTCAAAAACCACGGGCTTTTAACTCTTGCTGGTTGCTTGCAATCAATTCGGAAGATAGAAAACATGATCAACTCTCAAATATTGATCTATTGACGTTAGAAAATGACATTTAATATAAAAAGTCAAATAGAAAACACAAAGTTATTTTATCCGAAGATTTAAGAAACGAGTTTATAAAAAATATACACGACACATACTGCCACTTGGGAGAAACACAGATGTTAAATCAAATAACACCATTTTATTTTCATAACAGCGAAAAATATGGCTACTAACGTTAAGAAATTTATTATAATTGTATTATCTGCATATAAAACAAATTAAGAAGTATTAAAAATAATCTTATTTTAAACTTAAATTGTGGCTTATTCACAATAAAAATAGTAACTGTTTTATATGCTTATTATCCTGTTAAAAAATACATACACTTGACTGATTTAATTTAGGCATACTAAAGCAGTTAATCAAATAAGGTAAAACCCAAACCAAATCAATTAATTTAGTTTAAGATGTTGTTGAGCAAATGATTTGCTTGTTTCAAGGTTTTTTTACATACTTTAACCTCATTTTATATGCTGTTTGATTAGCTTATTATCTTAAAGAATTTTTTTGTCAATAAAAATAACAAGGCTTTAAAATTCAATTATACAATCGGTAAGTTCAAGATAAAGGTCAAATCTTTAAGTAATCAAAAAAAAGGTTAAGACAGATAGGTTAAGACTATGATCACTCACTTACTGGATTTTCTCTAGCATTTGTTTCTTATTCTTTAAGTTCCGCTCCTATCGGAGATTGGAAATCATTCTGGCAATTATAATTTTGTTGGTTATGCACCAGGTTAAACCCTTCACGGAGATAGCGTAACAACGAGATTTTACGTCTTCCCAAAGCTTCTTCTTCCTTTTATTTTGCCCTGCATTACATTCCTTAGTAACTCGTATTTTTGGCCTCTCATGATGTGCCCTAAGTATTAAAACTTCCTGATTTTTGTAGAATTTAAAACTTTGCATTGTTTTTCTAGTTGTTCGAGAACTTGTGCGTTTGTTTTGCGATCAATCCATGATATTTTCAAAATACGCCGATAACACCACATTTCGAATGCTTCTAGGTTTTTAAGGTTGGATTATTTCAGTGTTCAGGCCTCAAACCCCATACAAAAGGGGGAAAATGCAATTTTCCTGCAAGGAAAAATAATTGTAAAACGAGGTCCACGAAGAAGAAGAACATCTTGGTTAAAGAACCTCAGAATCTGGTTCAATACAACATCTGCGCAGCTTTTCCGCGCTGCTGCAGATAAGATAAACATTGTAATGGTGATCGCCAACATTCGTAACCGATAGGCACATCAAGAAGATTTGTTCAATTTTTGTTTTAAAATCAAAGACTGATATTTTTTGTACACACTTATGACAAGTCAAAGAAATGTAAAAAAGTATTTTTGAAGTGTGTATATTTTAAACAATTCCTAGCTGAGCGCTTTCGGCTTTACAAAGCCATCATCGGAGCTATGGTCAATTTATAAATACCACTACAATGGAGAGATCTCATTCTTATATGTCGAAATTATGATTTTTTAGTTGTTAAAATTCTTAAAAAACATATAAAAAACCGACACTGGACTTCACAGACACATTAAAAAATTGAAAAATTTTTTGTCATGGTACGGGTGTAAGAATGGTCGGGTTCTTACACCCGTACCATGACAAAAAATTTTCAATTTTTTAATGTGTCTGTGAAGTCCAGTGTCAGTTTTTTATATGTTTTTTATATGTTTTTTAAGAATTTAACAACTAAAAAATCATAATTTCGACATATAAGGAAATGAGATCTCTCCATTGTAAAGCCGAAAGCGCTCAGCTAGGAATTGTTTAAAATATACACACTTCAAAAATTCAAAAAATTTTTGTGTGTGTGTGTTTTGGCTTGGACAATTGTCATTCAGCCAGTCTCAATCAAGATAAGTTTATTAATGTAGTGTGTGTGTGTGTGTGTGTGTGTGTGTGTGTGTGTGTGTGTGTGTTTGTATGTGTAGAGTAATTGTCTTGATACTTAGCAAAGTCGACGTCATTGTCTTTGCTAAGAGACGCTAATTGTATCCGAACGTCTGCGGTCCCTCCGGTGAGTACCGATCACACAAGGATAGAAATTATTTTCATTTATTAATTTTTTTAATAAACGAAAATTTCCACCCAGGTGAGATTCGAACTCACGACCTTTAGGTTTAAAAGTAGGAGCTCTTACCACTGAGCCACAGAGAGGGTTGGGCCAATTAGTCTACCTTCACATATTTATAAACAATTTACAAAAATAATTACGAAACGACTAGAAAATAAATTGGAATTTTATCAGCCCATAGAACAGGCGGGTTTTAGAAAAGGCTATGGAAACAAACGATCACCTACTGGTAATAAAAAATCTATAGAAAAATGCACTGAATATAATAAACCACTAGCTTTAATATTTGTCGACTATAAAAAAGCATTCGCCACCCTAAATCAACAAAAAATGTTGAATCCTTGACAGAATGCCGGATTGACTATCGGTATATAAATATAATTAAACACATATACCAAAACTAAACAGCCAGTGTTAGAGTGGGTGATTGTCAAACCCAGAAATTCCCGATACAACCTGGAGTACGCCAGGGGGATACCATATCGCCGAAACTGTTCACTACGCTTTTGGAATATATATGTAAAAGGGCAAAACTGACCGACAAGGGCATAAACATAAACGGAGAAAAGCTTAGCCATCTAAGGTTGCAGATGATATTGTACTAATATCTGATAGGATAGATGAGGCCAAAGAACTTTTAAATCAGCTCTACCTTTCGTCGCTAGAAGGGGGATTGAAAATAAATATATCTAAAACCCAGATGATGACAAATCTTGTAGTCAGCGAAGATATATACGTAGGAACAAGATCCACAAGGTAATGGCCTATAAATACCTAGGTCATGAGATCCGCATAGGAAAAGATAACCAAACCGTTGAGCTTCTCCGTCGTATAAGACTGACTTGGGTAGCCTTCGTCAAGCTGAACCATATTTTCAAATCGTCTGATATACCAATATGTCTTAAAAGAAAACCTTTAATCAATGTGTTTTGCCAGTGTTGACTTACGGTGCGGAAACGTTGACCATGACAAGGAGAACAGTTCAAAAGATCCGTGTGTGTCAAAGGGCGATGGAGCGTGCTATGTTGGGCGTTTCACTACGAGACAAGATCCCAA